ATACCATATTCATCTTTTTGGGTCTGGGTTACCTCACTCAGGATAGCGTTTTCTAATTCCATCCATTTACATTCAAAATTCAAGATGTCATTTCTTTCCCCGCTGAATAGTACTGTAATGCATAAATGTGCCACATTTTCTTTATCCATTCTTCGGTTGGAGGAAGGACAGAGATGAGAGCAAGGAAAGAGATATCTTGTTTGAGGGAGTCATTATAGGGTTAGCAGAAACCTGGCTCTGGAGAAATTCCTAGTAACCCACAAGGATGACCCCAGCTAAGACCCTAAGCAATAAAGGAGAGGGGGCCCAATCTTGACTTGCCCTGTAGTCAGACTGATGAATATTTTAAATATTCATGTTGGATATTATTTAAATATTAATGCTGGATAGAGCCTTCATCCAGTAACTGATGGAAACAGAGGCAGAGACCCACATCAGAACACTTGACCGAGCTCCCAAAGTCCAGTTGAAGTGTAAGAGGAATGAAAATATGAGCAAAGAGGTCAAGACCATGATGTGTTCACCCACTGAAATAGTCTATCTGAGCTAATGGGAGCTCACCAGCTCCAGTTGGACTGGGAAGGAACAAGCATAGGACCAAAGTAGTCTCTCTGAATGTGATTGACAGTTGAAAGGCTGGGGCAGACTGAGGGGCACCAGGATTTATCCCTACTGTCTGTATTAGCTTTTTGGGACTCTATTCTCTTTGGGTGGATACCTTGCTCATCATAGATATAGTAGGGAGGGTCTTGGACCTTCCACAGGGCAGTGTGCCTTATCTTCAGGATTGAATTGGGGTGGGGTGGGAGGATGTGTGGAGGGATTGGGAGGAGAGGAGGGAGTGGGGACTTTGATTGGTATTTTTTTAAAACATCTAATGAATTTAAAAAGAAAAAGAAAAAAAAACAGAAGCTGGAGTGGGAAGGAAGTGGAGTCTCTCATGTTCTCTGGAGAGGGGAGACCCAAATTTTAAGGAGAGCTGGTGTCAATATGGTGACATTCCATAGGTTAGCCAGTGCTTTCTAGCAAATTTGACCTTCCACAAATGTTGAAAAGATAGACAATATGTTACTGCCTGCCCTGCCTCCCTGCTTTATATTCAGGTGTTCTTGATATAAACTAAACTTGAAACACTGGCCATACAAAGTTAGAAAATATTTTGAGAAATATTCATCTTTAGATGATATCTGTATCTATGGTAACAGGACTCATAACAAGGCTCCCTTTTGTTGGTTCATATGGATAGTCCCTTTGAATCATATTTTGTAAGATTCAACATTCAAATTAGGGCCATTGTAGTAGTACACATCTGTCTTCTCAGCACTCAAGAGGAAGATACCTAGATGAAGGTGAAATTCTGCTGTAAACAAACAAACAAAGAAAAATGAAAAAAAAAAGCCCACTTATTTTGGAACTTCACCCTGAGATGTTACATGTATTTGATTGCCATCAGTGGTCAGTTTTTCTTTTAAATGTTTTTTGTTTGTTTGCTTGCTTTTAGTTTTATGTGCATAGGTGTTTTGTGTCACTGTATGTCTGGTATTAGGTGCATGCTTGGTGCCTACAGAAGTTAAAAGTGGCCACCAGATCCCCTTGAACTGGAGAAACAGATGGTTATTAGCTGCGATGTGTATGCTGGGAATAGAAACCCATGTCGTCTGGAAGAACAAGAAACTAGGGTTCTTAATGTTTGAGTCATCTCTCCCTCTATCAGTGGTAGGCTTTGCTGCAGCTTTTTATGTTTCTAGAGGTTATTTATCACTTAAGGAAAATTCAACAATCATAGAAGCGTTCCATCAAATCGTTTAACAGGTAACTGTAATTCATCTATAAGAATAAAGCTGCTAATATTTAATATGGGCACCTGGTTCTAAGGCGCAGTGCAAAATGGAATTATTTAGTACTCGGCAGTGCAGGGGAAGAGCACAGCCACCTATAGTGAGAGTCACCTTCAGAAGTGACCGGCTCAAATGCTGGCTTCAGTCTAGGGTTGCCCTCTTGGCAAGACGTGCCATTTTTTTAGGCTACTATATAAAATGCAGATGGACGGTGCACATCTCCAAGTGTTGTGTGATATTTTGATCATGGTCTGACAAATAAGGCTTGTTTGGAGTCAGAGGACAGAGCTAATCACTAGCCGACCAAAATTAACCCAGTGGTTTTGGAGGACTGAGGAGAGAAAGGACAGGAAGCAGTAAGGCAGGGGTTGGGGTGATAGGATGGAATCTTGGCCCCTTTGGAGGAAGGAATGGAGCAGGTAGGAGAGGACTGGTGGCTTCTCTGCTTCTCTGCTCTGACTCCCGAATAGACTAATGCTTCACCAAGGTCACCGCGGAATGAGATAATAATTATAATAATGAGGAATAAGTACAGGGGATGAGATGATTTTCTTTGTGTGGGAACCCGGTGCATGTTGGCCATCACTCGGTCTGATGCCTGCTCTACCCATGTTGATAGATGAACTACAGAATTCAAGAAGTTTCAGTAAATGCTCATGTTTGTATGCTTGCTGCAGCTATTTCAAGATGTGCTTTCTCATCAAGAGTATTTAAGAAATACAGTGTGTGTGTGTGTGTGTGTATGTGTGTGTGTACAACACACATGTGGAGGTCAAAGGATCTCCACAAGCTCTCTCTTTCTACTCTATGTGTTCTGGGGATCAAACTCAGTTCCTCAGGTGTGGCAGCAGGTACCCTTATCTGCTTAATCTTTTCATCTGTCCAAATAGAGATCAGGCTGCCTCACAGGTGTAAGTCAAAGGCAGAAAAGAAAGGAGACTGATATTTCATTTCCACCTCCTTAAAGAAATGAGGGGATCATGGTGTCCTATTTGTGCAGACACATGCAGAAGACACTAAGGGTTTGAGTTCTTTCCGAGCAGCCGTGGAAATGATAATGGCAGGTAAGTCAGACAGAGACTAGTGTGACTGCCTGGAGCTCAGCATTCTATTTGCCAAATTCAATTTATACCAAATTCTATCCCGAGTGCCAGTTTCTGACTGATGTCACAGGTCAACAATTGATGTCTTCCTCACTTCTCTCCACTTTATTCTTTTGAGCCCGGAAATCACTGATTGGCTAGACTGGCTGGCTGGTGCTCCCAGCAGTAGGATTACCAACACTTGTTGCCCTACCTGGTTTTGTATGTGGGGGCGAGGGATTTGAACTCATGTCTTGATGCTTTCAAAACATTTTCCATTATGCACGGAGCCATCCCCTCAGCCCTGGAGCACTTAGCCATCAGGAAGGCTTACAAGAGTTAGATCATACTTGAAAAACTAAAGACTAACGTGAACAAATTCATCTTTCGTGTAGATTTCAAGACTTGTTTGTAGAAGCCTCACCCTGCCGGTTCACTTCACTTCTCCAAATGAAGTTTTTAGTGGTCTGAGTGTGCCAGCTTTGGGATATTCAGAGAAAGGACATTTGAATATTATCTTTTTCAAATGTAAGTGCAAGACTGCATTTCATATTTTAAACAGAAATTGCCAAAAATGAAGTACTAAAATTTATAAGCAGCCAGAACAGCCCAGTACCTGCCTGCCACGTCCGGAGCCCTGGGTTTCCCCTTAGCACCTCAGAACAGCTCAGGGTTAGAGTACTCACCTGCCATGCCCAGAGCTCTGGGGTTCACCCTTAGCACCACAAAAAATAATATGGAGTTTACAAGATTTCAAAATCATTGTTTTAACACAGAATTCTGTTTATTAGACCAAACAAAAACAGAGAAAATTATACCAGCCCTCATTTTTTAAAATTTTCATTAAATAAGCAAACTCTAAATCCACACCTTTAAAAGATGTTTGTGCAGCTATGTATTTCCAAAATACTCATATTTCAATAAGATTTCCACATTATATTCACCAACAGTATCACAAAATTTCTTTTTTTGTTGTTTTTTTTTGTTTTGTTTACGTAACTGTAAGGAACAATAATTCTAGAAACACTAGAAGAAAAAAAGCATAGCAATGTCCACAGTTACAAGAAAAAGTGCACATTACCCGGTCACAATCACAGTCAGTACTTGGAAAACTATACGTAACAAGTAGGAAAGGAACACCGCTGATGCCTTCAACCCATTGTCAAAACCAAAGGACACAGATTTTACATAAAATAAGGCAAATTCAAGAATGCACAAGGAATTCATAATTCAACCAAAGCTAAACAACAGAAAGGAAAATAGTACAAGCATGAACTAAAAGTACTTCTCCTTAAATATTTTAAAAATAGGCTTGCTTCAGTGCACAGAAACCACCACTCAGTGTGTGTCTAACACTAGAAACCGAGAAAAAAAGGGCAGAGCTTGGGGGGCCAGGGAGTGGGGTTGGGGGCAGTTCATTATAAGGTATAGCTCTGTCTGCTGAGGCTTCTCAATTTTAGCACAAAAAAACCCCTAAAGTATACAAATTGTAGCAGGAGATATAACAGCCTTTTCTGGAAACTATTTCCAAAAGAAATGAAAAGTAAACACGAGAGTGCAAAGTTTAAGATTGTCACCTGCAACCTCATAACATTCAGTCATCTCCATCCAGTCACTGCTCTGGATGGTGACTTGTGAGAGAGAGCAGCGCTACCAGGGCAAGCGGCTCAACCAGGGCGAGCAGCGCCCCCAGGGGCGATCATCTCTAAGGAAAGCGCCTTGTGCCGGCTTTCGCTTTGTTTTATAACGTTTAGAAAATTCTGGGATGAAAACTGCTGTGGTAAGCTGCCATGTCGCGTGGGTGTTTGGAGACTGGCGTTAAGTACAGAATGTAGGCATCTCTTGGAAGTAGTTCCTGACTGGACGGCTTACAGAACGTAGGCAAAGGTTTTTTTTTTTTTTTTTTTTTTTTTTTTTTTTTTTTTTTTTTTTTTTTTTTTTTTTTTTTTTTTTTTTTTTTTTTTTTTTTTTTTTCCCAGCATTGAGTGTTGTTTTTCTTTTATACATATCTAGAAAGAATTTGGAAAGAGTAGAAGGCAAAAGGGATGTGGGAAGGGTATTTACAGTAGTTTCTCAAAAAACAGTTTTCTTTTAGGACCTATGAAAAAGTTACCAAAGTAAAAATGACCATTTTTGAATGAAAAACAAGTATTCTTTTTATAAAAATTACATTTTTCTTTTAAAATACAAGATCCTTTTCATTGCTGTCATATCCTGTAGCAACAAGAAATTTGGCTTTTTTTTTCCCAGATACTTCAGCTTCCGGTCCAATAAGTCAGTAGAAAACTCCACTAATATCTCAGTTGGATCTTGAACTATTTTTTATATATACTACAAGCTTCTTCGTTTTTATCCTTGAATTAAGAATATGCAGCCTTTTTTTAAAAAAAATTGCTTATGATATTTATGTTGACACACTAAACCAGAAAGCAACTGGCTGGGCACATTTAAGCATCTCCAGTACTTCGAGGTCCGAGTTCCTCTGAAGCTTCTTAACACACCCGTGTACGGGCCAAGGACTACGAGGCAGGACGGAAGTGTTTCTCTTCAGAGACTGTGCTGCAAGCCCAGGAGCATCTCTGCTGGGAAATCAAGTGTCATTAGTGGGAACTACAAACTTAGAACTCGGTGGGTATGGACCTCGTTTGCTTCAGTTCTGTTGTAAAATGAGATTTTCCAGTTCATCCGCAGAGCGCAATAAAAATGCAGCGGATTCTCGGTACCCTGCGACAAGCTGTCTCACAGCGTTGATTTCTGTTGGACTGAGCTGAGGTCTGGAGTTTGAACTGCTGGAGGATCCTGAGCCAGCCGCCAGCTGCCGCTTCATGCTGAGATCCGTGGGTCCTAGACAAAAAGAATCACAAAGTAAGACAGGAATCGTGTTTATTCCAACATCTCACATATGAACACCCATCAAATTACGACTGAATTTATTCATGAATGCTGTCATGAGAAACTCATGGTCTCTAATCAAATGCATCTGCTCCCTGCAAGACTAAAGAGTAGTATGATGCGACGTGGGTGTCTGAGGATTTTTTTTTTCAGGTATCTTGGGCAGCATCCAGCCATCACTTCTTGTTAAAGCTGAGACTCAAGCCCTTTGAACACGAACTCTTGGCAGGATTCAATTTTCAGTCTGTCTCCCGCATGTTGCAGGCGCTACAGTGTACCAGCACTGCAATGATGAATTGCAAATATTTTTATTTGCTGCATTTATAAACAATGATAACTCCCATCAGTTCATATTTTAATGACTTCCAGGATAATTGTTAAACTTATTTTTTTATACATTAGAATTCATTCTTTGAGAATCTCACACGTTTATAAGATATATTTTCATCTTGTCCAGTCACCACTTCTGCCCGTTCAACTCCATCCACATCTCCTTCAAAGACTTCTTCCCAACCTTATTTCCTCTTTTTAGAAAGTCCTCCGAGTCCAATTAGTGCTGCCTGCCGGGAGGAGCTTGGGTGTTAGACCATCCCCTGAAGCATGGACCACCCATGCAGTCCCTGTATTCCAAGTTACCAGGAGCCTCTCAGTAACCGGCAAGGCTATATGAGTCCTTTCCTTATCGATGCTGACATTTTGACTGATTTGCTATTGGCAGGTCTCGTTTAAATAATTTTCCACTTGGCACAATCAAGAATGATTTGTGAAGAGAGTCTCAGGGAGGGATTGTCTAGGTTAGGCTGGCCTGTGGGTGGGTATATATGTGGAGTTTGATTGCTTTAATCGCGTTTTCAATCAATTTAATTTGGACCTACCCAAAGTGGGTGGCAGCACTTCATGGAACGAGCCCTGAACTGTGTAAGACTGGAGAAAGAGAGATGAGTGTAGGCACACATGTGGTTGACTCCTTCACCCAGCCCAGCTTCTTGACTGTGGATGTTACTATATGCTTCAAATCCCTACTGCCTTGAGCTTCCAGCCATGATGAACAGTAATTAGAAACTGTGATTCCAAGTAAGCCCCTTCTCCTCTAAGGGACCCTGATGGCATTTTACCTCAGCAGCTTGCCAAGAAACTATACTACCTCTTAAGAAATGTAGTCACTGAGGGCCGAGGGACTTCAGTTCAGTGTGTAGAGTGGACAAGTTCAAGCTGCATATTAAGGACTTGGCTTAACCTTTTCTTTCTTTCTTTTTAAAGGAGTTGGTCTAGATGTTTCTTTCTCACATCAAGGTAATGTTATCTACTAGGTGGATTAGTCTTATAATAGGTTAGAATAAACTTTTTCTTGAAATGGAGCGAGAAAGTAGTTCTTACAACAACCTGCAGAGGAACTAGATGTTTTATGTTATTAAACTGCGTCTCTATTTTCACAAAATACAGTCAGATGTTTCTAGTATTCCCTTATACCTTTAAACCAAGTCTGGCAATTCTGGTTTTGTGCAAAATTTAGTAACTTATTCTAAAATTGAATACAAAGTTATTTAAAATCTTGAGTTCAGAAATTAGCATTGTGAAGACACTTCATATGAAAATTTCATGTCTGCCTTTATAATTCAGCAAGTATTTATTAAAATTCATAAAGTTTGGAGAGAATGTCTAAATTTAGTAGTAATTGAATAAAGTATTGCTAAGCGTATCACAACATGACTCTGCAACAGGAAAGTATTTTAACAGACCCTAAATATGCAGAAGTGCTTAAAAAGGTGGGCATTTCTTTTGTGAGTTAAGACAAGTATTACAATTTTCTTGCAAGTGCTTCTTGAGGCATAAGGGAGACAGGTCAAGACCCAGTCTCTCTTCCATGGATCCCCGAGGGATGTAGAGGTCTCCTGAGAGGGAAACAGCTTCCCTTGAAATTTAATTAGAGCAGACAGTAAGATCTTTCCAAAGAACTCTTGACATCCACGGGAAACACACTTCTACTTCGGTCATGGCCTTTCCAAGCTTTGATTTTTCAGGAAGGATTTATCTTCCATTTGGTCTGCTATTTACAAAATCATGTTATCGACATGACAAATGAAGAGAGTGTGGCTTGTCACATTTGTGGAAAGGAGTCGCTGAACCTGTGCTCAAACAGTTAACAGTATCTGCAAAGTTCTCTGTGCATTCCCTTTTATTGATACGCTTCTTTTTCTTTTTATATTTAATTTTTTTACTCATGTTATATATGAACCATAGTTCATCCTCCCTCCCCTCCTCCTCACACCTCCTCCCATCTCACCTTTGTCTACTTTTCAGAAAGGGTAAGGCCTACTATGGGGAGTCAACGAAGTCTGGCACATCAAGTTGAAGGGACCAAGCAACCCCCTGCCCACCCATCAAGGCTGAGCAAGGTGTCCCATCATACGGAATGGGCTTTAAAAAGCCAGCTCACGAACTAGGTACAGATTCTGGTCCCCCTGTCAGGGATCCCACAAACAGACCAGGCTACAATATTGTCTCCCACATGCAGAGGGCCTGGTTCAGTCCCATGTAGTATCCCCTGTCGAGAGTCCATCATCTCCCACAAGTTGGAGTCAACTGTCTCTGTGGATTTCCCTGTCATGACATTGGCTCATACAATCCCTCCTCCATCTCTTCAACTGAACTCCCGTAGCTTGGCCTGGTGCTTGGATGTGGTTCTCTGCATCTGCTTCCATCAGTTACTGGATAAAAGTTCTGTGATGACAGGTAGGGTAGTCACCAATCTGATTACAGGGGAAGGACAGTCAGTTCAGGGCCCCTCTCCACTATTGCTAGGGGTCTTAGCTGGGGTCATCCTTGTGGATTCCTGAGAATTTCCCAGCATCATGTTTCTCCATAGCTCTGTAATGACTCCCTCTATCAAGATATCTCGTTCATAGCTCTCCCATCCCATTCCTCCTCCAACTCCACCATTCCATTCCCTTATGTTCTCGTCCCTCATCCCTTCCTCTTTACCACTTCCCAACCCACCTGGCCCCCAATTTGCCCAGGAGATCTCATCTATTTCCCCTTCCCAGGGTAATCCATGTGTGTTGGGGGCTTCTGTCTGGAAAACTACGTGACTACTTCCCGTACAAACTATGGCTTGAGAGCCTGGCTGCCATACCATATAGAAATATGGGCCTACATATGTGTCCCCCTTAGGGTCCTCTTTGTTACCTAGCTCTTCTGGAGATGTGGATTGTAATCTGGATGACCATTAACTTCTGATCCTCCTGCCTCCACCTCCCAAGTACTGGGATTACAAGCATGAACCACGAGGTCCCATTTGCCTTAAAATTCTAAAATCCTAACTTAGTGAGGAATTAATTTCTTCCAGATTTATTAACACACACAATTGAGATAACTTTGTAGTCTTTACAAGCTCATTAGCAAACCCTCTCCAAACTATAAGAAACCTTTTTGCCAAGTGTTTGTTATTCAAATCTTTAATGTCATAGGGATAAGAAGAAAAAATACATGTAATAGATATTTATTTAGTGATCACTCACTCAGCCTTCATCCAATGTCACTATCAATCTTTATTGTGTCTCAATGATCCAAAGCTATATTGAACTGATTCACCTTAACTCAAAACACAACTATTGCATAATTAAAATGTAAGTCCACTATAAATAATAGTTGAAATAAGAAGATGTAGAACTTAATGAAGTCTACAAAGTTATATTTGAAGACAAAACCACTGAGAACATGATTATTAGATGAGCCATGCCAGTGAATAGGAAAGACAATGACCAAGAAGACACTTAAACAGAAAATGGTCTCAGTAACACAGCTAAGGCAAATACAAAACTCCAAAAGGCCATGTTTATATAAGTATCCTGTGTTGATCAAAGTGATATGGGCTTATTTTTTTATGATAATTCTGAAACGTTGAATCAAAAGTTAAAGATATGTCATGTTAACCTAGACCAAAATTAGAGACATGATTCATTTTTAAGGCATGAGGTATATTTAAGTTATAAATGAATGACCACTTATTATTTTTAAAGTTTAAATGAAAGTATGCATTCATAATTATTAATTTTTATTTCTAAAACTAATCTATCAGTAGACTGTTTATGGTACATTTTTGTTTCTTGTTTTAAGATGCTTCATTTTGTTATAGTGTTTTAGTTTCTCTTTAACTCAGATAATGTTGCTTTCAAGCACACTTTTTAAAATTTTTTTTTTTAACAATGAGAACTACATTTTTGAAGACTGTGGTGACTCTTTTAAATTGTTAAAAATTATAGTGAGATGGGTGGAGAGATTGTTCTTGCAGAGGACCTAGGTTCAATTCCCAGCACCCATATAGTATCTCCGACCTTTTGTAACTCCAGTTACAGATGATCCAATGCCTTTTTCTGGCTCAGAGGTATCAGGCCTACATGTGGTGCACATACATGCCTGCAGGCTAAACACCCATACATAAATAAAATTAATCTAATATATATGTATATATGCATACACACACATATATTGACATGGCTGGGAGATGACTTGGTCAGTAAAGTATTTTTCATATGAGCATTAGGACGTGACTTCAGATTCCTAACACATACCACAAAAAGCTGAGAGAGTGGACACCTGAAATCTCAGTGCTGAGGAGATATAGACAGGGGCTTACTGGTCAACCAGCCTCATCTACTTAGTGAGGTCAAGGCCCTTGAGACTCTGTCCCAATGGACTGATGGAGGTGGGTCTTGTATCTTATCTGTTGATTTCATTGGTTAATAATAAAGAAACTGCCTCGGCCCTCATAGGACAGAAAATTAGGTAGGCGGAGTAGATAGAAGAGAATGCTGGGAAAAAGAAGCTAAGTCGAGGAGTCGACATGATGCTCCCACTCCAGACAGACGCAGGTTAAGATCCTCTCTGGTAAGCCAGCTCATGGGCTACACAGAATATTAGAAATTGGTTAGAACAATATGTAAGAGCTAGCC